AAAAGAGTCATCGCTGAAAGTCACTTTTGGCGGTGACAGATTGTCACCGCTGAAAGTTCTTTTAGAGGTGTCTTTTAGTAGCAACAAATATCGCTGCTGAAACTTCTAAAAGTCGCCGCTGAAAGTTTTCAGCCATGGCTGCTATGGCAATGACTTTTCAGTGGCGACTTTTATACTTTCAGCAGTAACTTTTTGTCGCCGCTGAAAGTCAATTTTTTTTGTAGTGTTTCAGATCCTATGTGAAAACTTCTGAATGAAAATTGGATATTAACCCCGTAAAAAACAAATAAGAAAAAAAAGGCGAACTTGGAGTCAAGAACATTCCAAACATGATTTTCTTGTCAAGGCTTTCCGTCAAGATACAGTGTCAAATCAAATGATAGTATTTCTTCCAAGTGTCCTGTGAAAGCATAGAGAGCAAACTTTATGTTGCTGGTTTTCAATATACTCTTCTCCCCGACAATTTCATTCCTCTATCTTTATCTCTCACATCTTGCTTCATGAGATGGGGGAAAAATCAAGTTTTTTTGCGCGCGCCACGTATTGGTCAAACGGAGTTTGCGAAACAGAGAAGAGAAAATTACACTCAATTCCAAATAAGAGATTTTATTATTGCGAGATGCCTTAAAATGTTTAAACTGATCTTATGTGTCAAGAGGCTTATGAGTAAGAGATTGCAATTATGAATTGATCATATTGCCTTTAGTATCCTCCCTTGTTAATTCCAACTCTTTTACTTCTCAATCACACCTATATAGATCACTACTCGGTGTTGTATATTGACTTGTCAATTGAGCCATACTAAGTTATAAGCGCATGTCCTTTCACTTACAATTTTGCAGTCATACAATTGATAAGTAAAAGAGTTGGAATTGATAAGGAAGGGTGATAAGATGGTCGATTCAAAATTACAATATCAAGCCCACATGTTTCTTGACACTTGAGATTAATTTAAAGGAGAATTCCAATCAGAGTCTAAGGATGAGATTTGATTACTTTAAAGTCTATTGATAAGTAAAGAGTAAGCAATAACAGTTTTCAAACAGAAAATAACAACAGGTTTAGACTGATCACGTGTTATTAGGACTTTTTAGTAATTAATTTTTTTTAAGGCTTCTTGGTAATTTTCCCTTAATTTAAACATTCAAAGGACCTTGCAACAATAAAATCTCTTATTAAGAACCTCAGTGTAATTTTACCAACAAAGCCAAGGTTATTGAACTTGCATTGAAAGATTTCATTCATTGGACTAGAGGGTACCATTGGAGTTGTATTAATCAATCCTTATGTGATTGCAGTTAAGATGCACATTACAGGCTGATCCTAATTTATGCTATCTGAATTGATTTTAAATGGTGAGAAGATTCAATTTAATTAATTTTTTGTTTTAAATAATTTTTATTTTAATAAATACCTGATTTAAAATAAAAATAATCTTATGAGACTTTAAAACAAATAAATTATCATTAAAGTTTTTTAAATTTGAACCATACCATATTTTAAATAGACCAGAATTCATTACAGCAATGAGCACATGTGGTGATGAGCACTAAATGAAGACCTTTTTATTTTTTTATAAGGTGTTTATTATGAAATAAGTTAAAATGATATGTGTAAATTGAACCTCTATATATACGTTAGAAGATAAACTCGACATCATCATGAGATTTAGAAAGGTTTAAATTTCAGCCATTAAAATATTAACCAAGGGTTAGAGAAAGGAAGAGGAAGAAAAAGGAAGAGAAGGGAAAAAACAAGAAGTTCCGAACGAGAGATCTAGTACAATCAAAGCAAAACAGAAAAACATATACACACTATAGGATGGACCCTCTTGCTTTGGCGAGCACTAATGATGTCCAACTTCATATTATTATTATTTGTTTTGGCCGGCATCAAGCTTCATATTATTCTTCTGGTTCTAAATATAAAACTCTTTTTATAGTGTAACTTATACTATAAAAAGACTTTTATATTTAGGACCGAAAGAGTATTATTTTGCTTTTGCGATTATTGGTTCAAATTTCCCGTGGTAAAGTTGGCAAAAAAAAATCGCCCGGGGTTAAAAATGGAATGCATTCTAACTAATTCTCACATCTTGAACCTAAGGATCCCTTGCTGAGACAACTGTGTGACGTCCCTATCTTGGAAATTAATACCCTCACGCCTTCATATTTAAATCGAACTACATTGTGGGTCCTGATGAACTGTGATATACATGACACATATAACGTGACCTTTTATAAATTTGCACATCATGTATAGATATATAAATTGCTGTTATATGAAGAGACAACTTAGCAAAAGCGTGGTTTGCCAAAACCTGGGGCTCAATTGGCAAATCACACCTCTCTTAGATGGGGAAGTTGTAAGTTCTAACTTTCCCATGGGAGATTGTAGGTTAGGATTAAAATTTTTTTTTAAAAAACATGGTTTGATCGTAATTTAACCATTTAGACACATCAGCTTAAGGTTATGTCTTGACGTACTCAACCCAAACAATATATCTACTTACACTAAAGATTTCTTGAAATCTAATTGTTTTCTAGAATTAATTTTTTTTATATATTTCATGTGGTATATTGTTTGGATGATCTTTATGGATGTTTTATGATTTCAATTTTTTTAATATACTTCTGAATTTCAAAATTGGGTTGTTGGCTTAATATCATGCAAAAATGATGGATAGTTATTAAGTTCATATAATTTAAAAATAATTATTGATCCCAATATTAATTCCATAATAAATTCAGTTTGAATTATTATAATTATATTTTTTGTTGTTGAATAAAATTATCTTTTTTCCCGTATTGTTTAATGTTTTTGGAAAAAAGAAAAAACTTTTCATATTGAAGCCAAACTAGGCCTAAACACTTGGGCATCGGGCTAGCCCCAACATGCTTTTAGATCCATCACAAAGTAGAAAGTCCAAGTTCAGTATTGTTGTGGAAAAAAGGCCCAGGTACAATATGACAAGAGGTGAAGATAAAATCGAAATGCTAAATAGGAACAGGGTTTACAATTAATTCTCCCCCATCAATGTGAGTTGAGTCCGGCAGAATTAGTTAATTCTTCGTAGCATGACAAACTAGAGTTTGAATCTTTACTGAAAGAAGAATCTATATTTAGTACTTAATAGTATTTCGAATAAGATTGTTTCTAATAAAATGACACTTATGCACAGAGGGGGACTCTCATCAGTCACTTGTTCTTTTCACTACATTGAAGTCTCCACTCATTTCTTCCATTATACCAACTTGGTTTTTTGTTCTTTTCATTACTCCAAGGTGTGTGTGTGTCCATTGGTGGATTTAAAGTTGGCCAACAAGGGTACGGTCCTCCCCCTCATGAAATAAATTTTTGGTAAAATATTCTAATAATTGAAGTTAAAAAAGAATATTATATCTTGAAGAATCTTGCCCCCAAGCTTTGGCAAAAGGGGAAAAAATTTGAAAGAATTATAATGAGGTCCCAGAAAAAGAAAATAATTACAAAACATGTCTCAAAAGTTATCATTTTCTATTCTGAAACTTGTTATTATTTAAGTTTCTATTGAGACTTTTTAGTTATTATTTTCTTTTTTTGGGATCTCATTGTAATTCTCCTAAAAAATTTTCCTACCAAACAAATTATTCTTGGATTAATTCATCATCATATGTGTTATTTGTTCATCTTATACATCATTGCTAAAAAGAAAAAATTTGCCATGCATATGAATCAATGTTGTTTTGATCGTGAGATCTTTTCATCTCCCCGTGTTAAGCTTAAGCTTATCAACACAGACAACCCGTGTGCGTGATACACTTTTAGTACCTGGCCTTTTTTCCCCCTCAAATGGAAAAAAAAAAGAGATGATTATTGATTAAAAAAATTGAACTTATACCCCCCCCCAAAAAAACTAAAAAGAAAACCATGATAATTATAAGCGAATGTTTAAATATTTTTAATCATACTCCAAAATTGATATTTATATTATATAGGGTGTATTTCTAAACTAATGCTCATGAATGTCATCAGTTTAGATACATAACTAGAGAAGTTAAGTGAAACAATATAATCTTGCTTAATTCATTTCAAAAAGATGAAATTAGATTCGGAAATAAAGTATGAAATCAAATGCAATATCTTTTAAAAACAACTCTTTGATCTATGAAATACAGATTAAATATATGATGAGAGTTTTATCTCAACTACAGAGAAGCACTTGGTGGATTTTAACAATCAAAGTTTATTTTTCGTCCTCTATAGTCTGTCACCCCTTCACATTATTTTTTGTAAGGTCAAACCCAAATTTTTAAAATTTTTTTGGTTTTGATTCTTTTATGTAAGCCACATTAGTCCTGATTAACAGTTCTCATAATTCTATTTAAGGGTGTTAAGTCAATATGCTTAAAAATATGAAGACCTAGATAACCATTTTAATGCAGTGGAAAGAGATTACAAATTGCTAAGCATTTACTTAAATACTCTTCTGATCCTTAATATAAAACTTACTTAATTAATTTAATTAAATTAAAAAAATTAGGTAAGTTAGTTAATTATGAAAAATATGACATGTTTTTTCTAAAACACCATAATCATTTTCCTTAATATCCATCCTCCCTCTCCTGCTTAATTATAGTTAAGAGAATATTCATAGGGATAATTTAAAAAAAATTAATAAATATAAAAAATAGGTCTTATATTTATGATCAAAACAAACTTAATAATTAAGCCTTATATTAACGACTAAATAATAATAAAAGTCTAAAATACTTATACCAAATTGAGTTAGTAATAATTGACCAAAAAAATTGTTAGGAATATAGTTGTTCTAGTCTATGTCATTTCATGACGGGGAAGGGCGGGAAAGAACGGAGAGGTAATTATCCATATTGGGAAAAAAAAAAAAAAAAAACCTAAGCAAGCGACGACTTTGTTAGGCACGGAGAGTAAAGACGCGTCCGGAGGACCAATCCGTTGGACCTAACCGCTCTCTCTTTCCTTCTGGCCGTCACCAAAATGTAATCCTCAACCTCAGCCAACGGAAACGATGATCAAGCCAGCACGCTACCCTCTGTTAAAATTAAAAAAATTTGAGATAATCAAATTTCTCTTTTAATTTTTAAAAGATTTGTCTTTTTGGATTTGAGTGTAGTGCCGATCAAGCCGAGCCGGTACCATCCGATGACGCCAGCCACTCGCGCCCTATGGATTCCCCCAACTACACGCGCCCTTCCCCGGCGACCTCATCGGCTCGACCGTACCGAATTATCTTTCGCCTTCTCACCCACCCTTCTCTTTCGCCTTTCTCTCTCTTTCCTATCTCTCTCCCTCTCTCATGCGTCCTGCGCGCCTTTCTTCGTCGACGCCTGTCTCTCTTCTTCTTTTTCTCTCCGTTTCTCTCTCTGTTCTCTGACCCTTTTTGTGATTCAAGTTCTCCGATCCCTGATCTATTCCTGGGGTTGATTTCTGTTCTCTGCTGTTGTTGATGGCGGATTTGCAAGATGGGCTGACGCCGCCGGCGACCAATCACCGTCCGATGCCGGTCCGGGAAGATTGTTGGAGCGAGGAGGCTACTTCCACCCTTGTCGACGCCTGGGGCCGGCGATTCCTGGAGTTGAACAAAGGGAATCTTCGGCAGAAGGACTGGCAGGACGTGGCGGACGCCGTGAACGCTTTACATGGTCATACGAAGAAAACCCACCGTACTGATGTCCAGTGTAAGAATCGAATTGATACTATTAAGAAGAAGTATAAGGTTGAGAAGGCTAGGGTTGTGAACTCCGATGGGAATGTCACCTCCTCTTGGCCGTTTTTTGAACGGTTGGATGCTTTGATTGGGTCCAATTATAATTCGAAAAAGTCATCCCCGTCGCCTCCGGTGGCTCTGCCGTTGCCGTATCGTAAAACCCAGTCCCCGCCGGTGACTGCTGTGCTAGCATCTGTGGCACTGCCGCAGAAGCGGTCTGCCGTGACGGCTTTGGATGATGGGTATTTTAGGAGGAATTATTCAGCTGTGGCAGCAGCGGCAGCAGCAGCAGAGGCTGATGAGGATGATGACGAAGTGGAGGAGGAGGACGAGGAAGAAGATGAGAGGGGAAGTGAGGTTGAGGAGGGGGAGAGGGAAAGAGAAGGGATGAGGAGATTGGCAAAGGCGATAGAGAGGTTTGGAGAAATGTATGAGAGAGTGGAGAGGGAAAAGCTGAGGCAGATGGTGGATTTGGAAAAACAGAGGATGCAGTTTGCTAAAGATCTCGAAGTACAGAGGATGCAGATGTTTATGGACACACAGGTTCAGCTGGAGAGGATAAAGCGTGGCAAGAGATCTGGGTCTAATGGTGAGATAAAAGTTTAGATTTTTCTTGTTTATGCTTGATGTTTGATCTTTTGTTTGACGTTAGAGCATGCTTCTTGGTATTGTTTTAAAATCTAACGGAAGATGTTATGTCTGCCTTTTAAACAGAGGGATGTTTGGTCGCTATGGGATTTCCCAATTAGCTTGTTTGTTAGATGGAGTTTTTTATTATGTTAGATCATGGACTTGAGAAAATAATAATTAATGTTATGAAATATTTGTTTCATTCTCCTTCTATTTATCCAAACCCAAGTAGTGAGCTTTATTACTTTTTGATGGAGACATCGTCATAGTTTATCGTCATGTTTATCTGAGAACTTTATTTCAATATAAAATGCGAGCCGCTTCTTTAAAGTTCAGGTGGCGTAGCATTTGCGTGGCAAGTTTAGGTATTTTAAGACTCAAAAGTGAAGGACATTAGTTTATTTTTACTTCCATTTACGGTAAAGTTTAGAAAAGAAATTGGGTCAAGGTCTATGAAGCGACTGATTATTGCATGACAGGTAGCAGCAGGATTGTGAGATTCGCTCTCGTTATTTTGCTGTTTTCCTTTTATTGTCTGTGTACATATACTCAAGTTTGGATGTCCTATCTCACGGTCCGAAGTGACATCTTGTATCAATGATCTATTGTTTGGAATTTGATTGGCTTTGACTTTTTACTGACTGGAGGTTGTACTAATGTTTTGAGCTTTAAAACGGTAGTGATTAATCCTAAAATTCTATCAAGTTTCCTGGTAAATATTGCTTGAAAATTGCGACAGTACAGCATTAATTAGTCAATTTTGATGTAGAATAATATACCATCGACTTGCTTCAGTCCCTTTTGTTTTTTGAGGCTTCCTATCAGGGGAACTGACTATCAGATGGTTCTTGTACTGTTTTTTAACTTGTGCATTGACTGAGAGAGCAAGTTTAGTTTTTGGGTAATAATTTCATTATGGATAATAGCTGATACTTGAATGATGTTATATTTCTAATATAACAAATCGTGTCTGGTACATTTTCTTATTCCTAAAATGTTCGACTAATTGTATGGGTATGCACTTTACAGTAAAAGTGGTGTTAGAAATTCCTCGTATTTGGAGCTCTTTATATTAAACGCCACCTTTCCGTGGCTGTAAATACACGTTTTACATTCTGTTTGAGGCAGAACCAGTTGTGGTGTTCTGTTACTGTAATCTATCTTCCATGTTGAAGCATTATGGAAGTGAGGCAGCAATCAAACCAAAGCCATTGTTCAGATGATTTTTAATGGGCTGCGGTGGGTTAGGATGGGATATTCCCTGACTAATCTGAAGCAAATTGAGTCAGACAACATGGATTTAAAGTTTTCCCAATGACAGTTTTCTTCACTATCAAGACTTGAGTGTAAGATTTTATTTGAGAATAACAAGTGCCATACCGTTTGAACCACTTGTTGTTATGCTCTAGTGCCTTTTTACCTTTCCTCTGCATTGAAGGAAATAGCATGATTGAGAATCCTGTTGGAAGTTTTCCACCCTCTCCCTTGATTCTCAGTGTAACTCTTAAAACAATAGGAAGGAAACTGCTATCTTTTTCTCTTGGGAAACATCCAAATATTGTAGGGGTTAACTCCCACTCTTCCCACTTCATTTCATTTCAGACCTCTTTAATAACCACTGCATTTCGTCTTTTTAAAACGTCCAAACACAGCCTGAGAGGCAGAGAGCAGGTTACTCAAATTGAATCGGATTGATATGTAATCAAATGAAGGTTAAAGTTTCCAATTTGAGTTGCAGTTTTGTCCAACACATATAATAGCCATAGGCAACCATATTTGAGTTTGCATCGATTTGCACAAAGAGTGTAGTAGTGCTTGTTTAATCTGGCAACTTACATTATACTTTGCTTAAAATGAATCCTGATTGAGGAAGGTTTTCTTGAGATAATTTAAACTGGGTCTGAGCACTTGTGGGATTCATACTCCGCAACTCTGATATAGGGATCTCCAAAAATTTCTTTTGACTTTTCAAGTCTCTTATATTGCAATTGTGGTTTTAGTTTATGACGTGGTAGGAATTAATTGATGGACTCTTAGATTTCTTCCTTGTTGCTGTTGGGCTTAGATTGCTTCCTTGTTGCTGTTGGGCCATCTGGACAGGGTTGAATCATCGATTCTAAGAATTAAGTACGGATGTAAAAAGGGTAGTTCTGAACGGGGATCAAGATCTAAAAGGAACTGTTTGTAGGTTGATTCTCTTTCCTGTTGTGAAATTGCTACATAACAACAATAGATTCTCTTGACTATGGGGTAGGTAGTCAGAAAATTTGGGAAGTGTTGAGACAGTCATTTAGATGTATCTGGTTTGAATTCAAAGTAGTGAGATGAGTTTGCATTTTGGCTACATTATTATAACTTGTACCTTTGGAATGGTCCTATACAGAGAGAGAGAGTGTGATAAGCTTGTGTTCTACAGATTCATGGTGTCTTTAACTACCTTCAATTTGATCGGCCTCTGATCCCTTGCCTTAATCTTGTTTTGCCCCATTGGTTTTCCTTTCCTGTTTTCCATTTTGTTTAGGTCTCAAATCAGTGTCCCTCAAGCTATTAGTTTCTTAAAGCAATATGGTGTTTATGGATGTGATTCGTGCATTTGGGAACTTGAATCTCATCAATTGGGAAGAGAGTCTTGGAGATTTATGCCCGAGTCTTTAGTTATTCATTGGTTTTATAGAGGTTTTTATATTTTATTTGGAAAGATTTTGGAACCTTTGGAATCTTATTTTATTTTTGATTGTGTTATATTTTATTTGTTTATGATGCCTGTCATGGCTAGGATGAAAAATTAGTGATTGTTCTTCATGTTTGAAATTGGAATGGAATTTATATGCTGATGCCCATGATAAGTTTTGTTATCTTTTTCCTTTATATTGCAAGTTTCTGGAATATCCTGATGCATGTATTGGAAATGCTAAATCGTCGGAGATATCTTGTTTTATTGATATCAAGGTCAATTTTCTTTTAACTTTCTATGTTGAGGTTAAGTTCAATTGGGGTTTATGATCTTCTCATATTAAGTGTTGACCAGTTTACAAACAGTGGGTTTCAGAGATTGAAGTTAAAAACAGAAAAAAATTCTCAGTATCCAAATAAAATGAGGAAAGAAAAATTTTGATAGCAGATTTTTCCCTCCTTTGCTTCTACACCTGGGATTCAAGCTCTGAAAAACCATTTTGCTCAATTCACTATATTTTTCATTTGGTTTTGTGTTGTTGTCTATCACCCAGCTGCTAATGAATGACTGTTATTTCTTGAGGACATGTTACTTGTTTTTACAGTCATAGTTGTTTGAACTTGTGTTTTCTGCTTCATTTCTGAAATCAAAATCATTTGCCCTGCGGAGTAAAAATTGATGCTTCAAAATTAGAAAGGATTTATAAGATTATGGGGCGTATAGTTATCTTGAAGTATTTCTAGGAAATGGATGGATTGTTAATTCCTAGTTTGTTGATTGCTTCTAAATCATCCTTACAAATTTGTTGGTTGCTGCAGATATATATAGCTAGCCCAGAGGGGGAGGGATTGATGTTCCTTGGTCGGAAGGCTATGGCATCCTGATGTGGCTATTAACAAGTACATATAATATCAGTTGATATTGTCATGGGGGAATCCTCAAACAAGAATTTATTATGTATTCTTTTAGTTGGCCTTTATTTGTTATTTAGCTTCAATTGTTTTTTTTTTTTTTTTTTTTTTGGGGGGGGGGGGACAATCTTTGTGATTAGGTAGCCCATTATGAACTAATTCAGCTACTGTTCTCGCCTAATCCGGGGCCCGGATACAGTATTTCACAATGTATAACCATTTCGTCATCCCAGAATCTGTCTGACTCTGCACGTGATTATCTTATAATAAAATTTGAGTAGAGTATCAACTGTTTATGCATGCAACCACTTGTTGCAAGCAGTATTTCAGAGGCATTCGTTATTGCAGGATGATTATTATTTAGAGTAGTTATGACATATGATCCACTTCGCATTTTTGACTTGTGTTGAATTGATGTGGGTGGTTATCATATTCATCGGGTATATTTTTGGATTGAATTGAATGAGTTTCTTTATGAGCCAAATCAGGATCATTAGGGAAGGCTGGGATGGAATTATTTAACTTCAAAGAAGTCAAGGTAGATTTGCAAGAGAGGAGAAACAGTGAGCCAAGTTAGATTGAGCAAAAAGGCTGAATATATTTCCATGTAATCCAAGGAAGAAGAAGCATGAAGGTCGCATTCACACCCCACACACAATATGTGATTAACTCATTGAAATACTCTCACGCACTCACTAGTAGCACGCAACACCAGTGTTTCCTCTTTGGTTTTTTTTTTTTTTAAATATAAGTTTCAGATAATTTAGTCGTGTAAATTAAAAAGTTGGTTGAAACATTAAGTATGTAAAAAATGTAATTTAATTTTTCAAGACACCCTTATTTAAAAAAGAGAGATAAAAGGGACAAGTAATTAATTAAAGATAAAATATTTAAAACGTATTAAATGTCTAAACATTTTTGAAGTGTGGTTTATTAAAAAAAATTAAACCCACTCATGAAAAGGTTCAGAGTTATAGTAATTCTCTTTTTAACATATCAACATGGCTTCCGATATTACCAAAACAAATTCAAGTATTATTGAGTTAGATTAAGGGTAGCCTTATCAATTTAACATTTTTTCTGATCACTATTTAAATTAAATATTTGACGAAGAATTAATAAAATAATTTATTTATATGAAATTCATTTTTTGATCACTATTTAATTAGTATTGTGATTTGAAATAATTTATTATTTCTTTTATGCACAATGAGATGGGTGGGTTGCTTTCTTTTCTTAAAAGTTTAAAATTTCTGTGCAATGTTAAATTTAAGGTGGCAAAAGTCCATGAGCTGTTTAACTTTACATAATATTTTATTTCGATACTTTAAATTTATAGAGCATCTTCTTGATCATTTAATCTTAACGTCATTAGCAAAAAATGTTAATATTAAAATTTTAAATATTGATAAAATATTTTTAAGTCTTGACATATCAAGTTTAATTTTCAAATAACAAGCATCATTTAAAATAAACAGTATTAGGATTAAAGAACTGAAAAAATTTGTATCAATTTGCCCGTATTCCCCATGATCGGTGCTAAGACTACGCTTTTCAAGTCGTATCCACAATGAAAAGCCTTAACTAAATTCAATAAATCCACTTAATTTTTGTCTTGAAAATATTCGTGAAGAAGCATGGGTATTTAGAAGCTTTTTTTTAGCTCAACGTTGTTTCAAAATTGTTAAAAAATTAGCAATGATGCCTTTTCTATTAAAAAAAAAAACTAACATTAACTGTTAATATTTTTAACCCAAAGCGTGATATCGCTCATTTTTTACACTTTTTGAACGACATTAAGCTTAAAAATTTCGGATACTTACAGTTCCTTCACCAACAGTTAGTGGGGCAAAATGTTCCTAAGCCCTATTTTTCAACTAATGATAAAATCTTAAAATACACATAGAAAGAAATTGAGGGAGCAATTGGGTACGTTGTGTTTAGTACATATATTACACGAAATTTGAGAACAAAGCAATAGTACTCAACTCATAAAAATGCAACTCCTGTCAATTTTATACTATATCCGGTCTTCAATACTCCTCTGGTTTAATATAAGATATTTATATTAGTGTATATAAGGGTATTATATTTAGAACTGGAGGACTATAAAAGTTAATTTGACATCTAATTTGATTTTAAATATAAGATTTTAATTCATTTGTCTCTCACATTTATCTGTTTTTCCTAAAGTAATCTTATAGTAGTTGCATATGTTAAAAGTTTTATCAAATAATAGTTTGAGCTTAATACATATGATTAGCAAGGTATTTTAGAAATTAAAAAACAACACTATTTTATTACAAATAACTAACTAAATTAATTTTTTAATTATTCAAATTAGTTAACCAAATCTTATATTAAGGACTAAAAGTAGTATTATATTTTCATCCCAACTAGATTTTCATGGTTCAAATTAATTAAATATACTAGTTTATAACAGCACAAAAGTGCTATGTGGCAATCAGATCCCAACACACACACACACACACACACACACACTGTAATAAAGAGGAACATATAGATATTAGCACTCAACATCTTCACTAACTTTAGAGGTTTCGACTTCAGATCCACATTCCCTGTACATGCATCGCCATTCTTAATATTGTAATAAGTATAAAACATGACACAAGGGTGCTATAAGTTATGGTTTAGAGCCTTAGACACACACACATGCTGGAAGTAATAAAAGTTTGAAAGCTCATTATTTTGGAAGCTAGTTAGACAGACAATGAGAGAGCATCATGAAACAAATACGTTGCAGTATGAATAGTTTCTAGCTCTAACACGTAACGAGAACATACAATGTTGTACAGTGTCTCAAATATATGTATATATATTGACTATATATAATATATATACTTTGATGGCGAGCAGATTATTCTGAGACTACACTAATTTACTGGTGACACGAACTGCTCTACATATTTTCTGGGACCAATTTTGCAGACATGATCGAAGCTCGATCTATCTGCATGATGCGACCCCTTAAAGCTCTGTCACTAGTTCCTTTCTTCTTCTTCTAACATTTACCTCTCTTTCATTTGGTACGTTCTTACGTACGTAACTCCTGCGTGAAAAGTGAATCACCATGAGATTTCTTAATAATCTGAGAACTTGACAGATGACAAAGGTATAGTAAAATTTGTCATTCACCCATACCTCCAATCCTAATTATAAGACCTCGTTTGTAGATTACAAATAAGGTTTTATAGTTAGGACTGGAAGTAGTATATATATTGTCTGGAACAATGTTATTCATTAGTTATGAACATTGGTATTGTCAGGAATAAATAATGAGGATACCTAGTATCTTATTCATTGAGGATCAATTTATCACACAAAATGAAAAAAAATCACTGAGCATTCGGATATATAGAGCAAATCCTCAGTTGGGAAGAGTTATTCACAGTTAGACAGGATCACATACATACATACATACATACATACATACATACATATATCAGATATATAATTGCATCAAAAACATAAAAAGAGAAGAAAAATATAGAAAAATATAGGAAACTAGGTAAGATGTAAATGTGATAACTACCAGAATCTCATTCATTTACTAAATTTTCTTTCGGATTGAGCAATTCATTCAATGCATGAAGGCTACATAATTCGTTCAATTTTTCTACTCAGCTGTTTTAATTTAAAATATATATTCATAATTGATTTAGATTAGTGAAGATATTTTTATTTTTTTTTATTGTAAACAACAACAAAATCTGGATGTAGACAGAAAATAATCTATGAAATATCAACTCGAAATCAAACATATTAAGAAAAGCAAATAAAGTTTAGGTCATCTAAACAAGATCGGGAAAGTTTAAAAAAAAAATGGTGTGCGCCAGGTCTGAATTAGAAGTAACATACAAACACTGATTTTTGTATTAGAAGAGAACTAATACAAAAAAGAACACTATTGTGCATCTATTGTTTTTTTTTGTCCTTTTACATTTATTATCTCTCCTGCCATTTCCCTTTTAAATGTAATACTATCTCCTGTTCTTAATATAAAAGTTAGTTGGGGTTAAATTTATTTTTAAATATAAAACCTTAGTGTACTTTGTCTTTTATCCTTCCCCAAAATATTCTTATATATTGATTGTAAGGAGATCCCACTAAGGAATAATTTCAATCATCCAATGCATTATTGAAAAGGATATTTTAGGAAAATTAGTATATATTTGTGACAAATAACCAACTTAACTAATTTTCTAATATCCCCAAATTAATTATCTAGCCCTTATATTAAGAATTAGAGGTAGTGTATGCAATCACTTTGATTGCTATTTCAGATAGTCCCTTATAAATATTGTTATATGCTACCTTCAGTCCTTAATATGGGGATTAAAATAGATTGAAATATTATATTTAGGATCAAATTTAATTTCCAACTAATTTTTATATTAAAGACTGAAGATAATATATTCATTTAGCTCATCAAAAAATCAATACCATCAAATTCCATGTAGGGCATTCAAAAACATCAAAGTCTCTTGAAAATGAGGCTGCATCTTTATAAATAATTGGGAAGCTAGTCAAATTAGTTATGCATTGGATGCCAATTATAGAGATTATAGATTACCAACCTTGACTCCTTATTCATTTTGCATAAATTATTGATGGAAGGATGACATCGATTAGTGTGTGTGTGTGTGAAATTTTGGAAGCAATTTTTGTAACTTGCTTTGCTGCAAAGCTATACCAAAACACACACACACAATGGGATCTATTTAATTATCTATAAATTATGTTCTCTATTCAATAGTCAATCGATGAACACAAAAGGGGAAAAACAAAAGTTAAATAACTTCTAATTCTTTTTTATTATGTTCTCTATTCGAATCCGCTTACCCACCACAGTATACATATATGGGAAAAATTGTTTTTTGTGCTACATAACTATAATTTTCTTCGGCTCACAACTGTATTAACCAAACTATAATATAAACTAGAGCCAAAAGAGAAGATACACACGTATAATGAAAACCAAAGCTTAATTCTTATGAAGGATAAACTAAAAGCAATGAATTGGATACTGATTATCCAGTAGATCGCAGTGTGTGTAAGCAAAGGTTAAACATTCTCTGGATGGACAAGAACGTCCTCATAATTAAAAAAGAATTAGAAGTTATATAAAAATTATGATACAAATAGTCTATCATTAAAATTTTGAGAGACTCATAATCACTTTACCATTCATCCATATTAACATGCAAACAAAAACAAAAAAAGGAAAGAAAGAAAAGAAACTTAAAAAAGGTACAGCAGCAGGAATATATAAGCCAGACCAGAAACAACAGAACACAAGAACACAACAAATAAACACTAATCATAATACAAGGTGAGCTTGAGTTTTTCAGATATAAAGATTAAAAAAAAGCAGCATTTTCTTCAAAACACCACAAGAAAATGGACAACAGAAGTCGATAGGAAAAACACATAAACAGCATACACATCCCACACAACTTGGATGGTTTTGGGTTCAGAAGGACAAGATGACAAGCTGAGTAGGCAGCATGTGCACTTAAGCTTGCGATGGTTTAAGGTAAAAATGCAGTGTGGTATTAAAGTCTAAGTACATAAGCTGCAAATATGTTAGAGCAAACTGTAAATCTTCAGAAACAAATACAAGAAACCTAATGCTTTCCCTTAAAAAGGGCAACCCCCCCCCCCAAAAAAACTTGTAAAACGATTCAGATTGTGGAGATATAGGACTCATTTGTAATGGCTTATAAACAATTTTTTAATCATAATTTTACAGATTCGAGATAAGTATATAAGAAGAGTTTTATCTTGACTTATATAAAACATACTTATAAGTGAGTTATGATAAACTTGAATGATTTGGGTATGAAGGAAACAGTCAAAGGAAGGCAATATGCAAGTAAAGAATCCCAAATACTTTGGATTCTCATTAGTGTACCAATAATTATAAGTGCTATGTATCTTTTGATGAGGGTTCATATTAACTCATTGCACAGAATCTCTGACTATAAAGCCATTTCAGCCAATTTAGTTGCATTCTATATATGAATGTACAGTTGGAGACAATTTCAAAAGTGCATATTTAACTAGTAGTTTCTGAAATTACTAGCTAGGAAAAAAACCTTCTAAAACGTTAGAAATCTTCATGGATCCATGCTCTATCTATTTATTCAATTATTTCTGGACAATAATCCCTATATATATAATTCTAAATATTTAGAATTATACATTGAGGTGGTAGCGGCCTCACCTCCGTAAAGAGAAAAACATAAGTTTGAATCTTGAGAAACACACTTGTTAGGATGACCATTCCTTAACCACTCTAAGCTCGAAAGAGATTAGTTTCAAGTCTAATATGACTTGGGGATACCTTTGTTTGACCTAAAAATATATATGATGCCTCTGGCTCTCGACATTTTGTTGACTAAAAGAAAGAAAAAGATGTGCGATCCAGGTGTCATATTAGTGATGTATTATGTAATTGCTTTTGTATGCATCCAAAGCACTCGTTGATATCACTATAGTAGTTAGATTGAATTCGTTATCTATATATATTTTTCCTTTTTCTTTTTATAGCTCTTACTTTTAAGATTTTGCTTTATTAATTTGTAACAAAAAAAAAGTTACAATGTCGTAAATTTCTTTTAGAATTTAACCATTAGATCAAAAACTCATCTTGTGCAATGCCATATATGCATGCAGTGTGTTTTAAGCTTCCTCTTATTTTCTGACATAAATATAATTTGCCCCTTTGTTCAAATATCCATGCAATAATCAAGTTTTGTTTTTAAAATGTCAAATATGACTGAGTTTAATATTTCTTTTTTCTTAACCAAAAACATACTCAAATTCTTTGTTTGATAGTATCATCTTCTGGCTACTTGAGAATTTCCATAAGTATATCAGAGTATAATCCAAGGTAATAATTTATATACTCATATACTTTTTTTTTTTTTGCTTTTACCCAGTAAGACAAAGTTCCAATTATTGGACATTCTCTCTCTTCCCTTTCTTCCTTTAGACAACATTTGTTGTTTGTTATTTGGACTTTTTTTCATCAATGGGATAACAAATCCAAACTAGCATATCTAGTGAGACACTACGAGGGCCTAAAAAAGCTTATATGTAAAAAGCAATACATAAACATTCTAATGATTCAAAGTATATAGATATATGCGTGGACAATAAAAAATGATAATATGTCGTTAACCACTAGCTTCTTCACACGCACTAACTAGGGACTATATTCAGCCATTCTAAAAGTGCTTACATTGAACAAATTAAACAATTAATGCCTGTACCAAAGATTTATTATAAAACAACGAAACCAAACATTAGTCAATGATGGTGTTTTCTTTCAATATTAATTTCCTTTAATTTCTTCCATGGACCACACTCTCTGCAAATAATAAAACAATGTGTATGCTTCTAGTCACATATAAAGGATATATTCTAGGAGGTGTTCTTCATCATTTTCATAAAAAATTTGATAGATTTAAGGTGTATTAAATATTTTTTCATATGCTCATATTTAATAAGCGAAATCAGTAAAAGTAGAAAATAATATAATTAATGTTGGAGTTTAGGATGGTTAAGAGGTAATATTGAAAATTACTTGAATTTTATAACAATTTTAATGTTTTTAATTATTTTCATTGATACAGAAATGAAAACAGGAAGGAGTATATATATGTTGACTTCACTGAAATTTAAAAACAAAAGTCTCAAATTTTGAATTTTTGCATTACACTTGGCCAAAAGATCAGGAATTTCACTATATTTGATTTTGTCCATGTATGTAAAAAACTTACAATGCAGCATACACACGCACATATATGATATGTATAGCATGGAGCCATGGGGAACACAAGAAATCTAACAGAATCAGAAAAGGCCCAAAATTATTAGTGAAAAGTAAATGACTATGAGACTATTCAATTAGGGAAATGAATCAACAGTGATTTGAATGATAGGAGAGAGAGGGAGAAGAAAGAGAAACAGAGAGAAAGAGTTTTTGTTTCCCGTCTAATCATTGTAATCTCAGTCATACAGCTATATAAGTAAAATATTCTTGTAAACCATTCTTCCCCACTTCTCTCAATCTCCCTACATTGAAGATTAGGGTTTTGAGTCAGCAGATTCTAGGGTTTCCTCACTACAAAAACGGTATCCTCGCACCCAGGATTCTTCAGACTTGTTTGTTACAGCTTCAAATTTAATTATTTCCTCAGTATAGTTTCAAGAATTAGTTAACTTTTTCAAAAAATCAGACAGTGAAACTGATGTCTTAACACACAAAAAAAAAAAAATTTAAATTTTGGTGCAATAATATGAAACACATATATGAGATGGTGGTGTAAGTTTCTGAAAGGGGTAAGGCTTAGCTTTAAAGACAAAATTACCATTCATTTTCTCAAGAAGCCAATTGCTTGAGAGCCTCTGCAGTCTGATTATTCTGATCAGTATTATTTCCTTTCAGTTGGATCCTTCTCTTCTTTTTCTTCTTATATGGAATCCCTCTTGCCTTTGATTGGCACTCCTTTACTTCACGCAGATACACCCGAATTGCTCCGCTCCCGAAGGGGTTTGTCTCGGCCGAGCCGCCGTGCTCCTCATAGGCGGCTCTCAGCCTCCCGATGATTGCATCCAGGCTTCCCCAAGCCTGCCGGAGTGGACAGGTACATGGTGCCGGAGGGTCGGGTTGTCCGAAGAAGATACAGCCGTGTGAATGGACCTTCGTCTTCCCGAATTGGTCAAGAAACCTAAGGAAATCCAGCACATGATTGAAGTTGCACTGAGAAAGTGGTACCGGCGGCGATTGATTCTTTAAATACTGCCCAAAGGTCTTCCAGTCTCGCAGTTTCTGTGATTCGTACCGGCTCAAAGGCGCCGCAGCTGCTACCTGTTCTTGCTGCTGCTGCTGCTGCTGGTGATCGGCGACCGGTCGCGATGACGATGACAAATCTGTCGGGGTTTCGCCGGACATGGCGGTGGTAGATGTGAGAGTGTGTGAGGAAGGAATAAGTATATAGATGAAGAAGTTGCGGAGAAGAGAGAGAGAGAGAGAGAGAGAGAGAGAGAGAGAGATAGAGAGAGAAGATGGAAATCACATCCTTGCTGGGGTCTTTGGAGAGGACATGCCATGGGCCCTATATGAAGGTGCTTTTGTTCTTCTTTTTCCACCTCTCTCTATCATATATTTGTATTTCCACTTTTTACCTATTTGCACTAGTGTGTTATATATATAATATATTATATATATTTGTTTATGGAGTGTGCTATCATCTATAATTCTGTAATCATCATTTCATAAAATTATGGTTTTCGTATATTACATACATATATGCATATATTTTATTGCTATTATTAGTAATATATTATTCCTAGTGTCGGTTCTGCATTCACCCAAACCAGTTATCACTAAAATAAAGCCAATCCAATTAATTTTAACATTCAAATTTTTTTTCAATTTAACTTGGTTGACCTTAGGTTGGTAAATGGTAATAAGCTAAAGAAATTGAACTGGACTGGCTTTAATTTTCTTGAATGTTACTATACTTCTACAACTTAAGCATTGATTTGTTGAAATAAAATGGATTATGATTACGATAGTAGATTGACTCAATAACTTTAATTATTAATTTTTAATGGTTGGATTAGTGAACAATAATTCTCTGGAGTTTTAATACCACCTTAATTCGGTCCTTAATATAATATAAGGACTTGATAACTAATTTGAAGATATTAATAAAATTAGTTGAGTTAGTTGTTTATTTAAATGTATGTTGAACTTTCTAAATTTTTTTTAATCATGTGCATAAAAGTTTATAATTACTCCTTGGTGGAACTCTTTGTAATCAATAGAAATACTTTTTAAAAAAATTATAAATTTGACAGACAATATGAATTGAGGACTTGTATTTAAAATCAAATCCAACTTTAACATTGCTCTTATATTAAAGATTGGATATAGTAGTATTAATCGTGAGCCTTATTTAGTTGGGGAAGAGTTAGTTGTTAGTTGATGGGGTCTAGTAATTATCTTTAAAGCTCCTTTCAAAATTTTGTTCGAGTTGTTATAAAAATATTTAACCAACAAAGGTTATTTCGAACGTTACGAATTGGTCCCACTCACAAGAATATGGGTATGATCTGTACTATCAATGTGAGAATTTTATTATTATTATATTCCCCTCGTTTCAAAAAATAGTGATCAAGTAGTTCCAAAAACATGTAGATCAATAAGCTGTCTTTTTCTGACCCCCCTCCAAATTTATCCCTATTTTTTAATGCACAATTTAACCTTAATTTAATAGGGGTGTTGTTTGAAAGATCTCATAAATATCATAAAATTTTAAATATATATCATGAAAAATCATTTAAAATTAAACTATATATTATTATATCTTATAAAATAAAACGGAAATATAAATATTGCATGTTGGGGAAGTTAACGGTTTGAATCATGCTTACAAATTCTAATGGAAAAGAAATAATGTTTGCGAATTTTGAGCTGTCTAGCTACGTCAGTACTTGTTCATGCATGAAATGACAAATTAATTAGTAGGTAGGTATCATTATTAATCCTTTACTTAATAAATAGATAAATAAACACAATTCCCTTAGCAGTTAAGGTTTAACTTTGTTGAACAGTATTTGTAAAGAGAATGGGAATTACAATTAGGTCTTTTGATCATGTCTGATAAACTAAAATGATTAGCTTTCTCCTTTCTTGTTTCCCGTCTTTTTTCCTGTCTGTATTCATATTACAACCTTTACAGTTAAGGTTTGCAAACTCAACTGTAGTCCTCATGCTTTCTTTTAATTTTTAATTTTCTATTTATAATTTAACTTTAAAAATTTTAGTTCAGTCCATGTATAACCTTAAAATTTTTATAAATATTTATTAGATATTTCATATAAATATTTGTATACTACTCTAATTTTATCAAATATGCTGAAGTTCCACTTAAATTTGTAAGATGACTCAAGTGTAAATTCATGTGTACGTAGAAAAATAATATTGGGAGAACTCTTTTAGTTTTGACTTCGTTGTAACTACAGGTCATTTTAGATTGAGGAACACTAAAATAAGTTCATGTTATCCAAACACTAGGCACTTAAAAAATATATATGGATCTGATTGTAGATGTTTAAACTACTAAAAGGATACATTAAAAAGATTGAGTAAAATTATAAGAAAGGAGATGTCATACTTTTCCTCAATTTTTTATCGTTTTAATTAATTCTTAAACTAAAAATGATTAGGTTTGATTGTGGCAGATAAAATGGTAATCATACTCAGCCCAAAACCTATAATCCAAAGAGAGCGAGTGAGTGTGTATAAAAGAAATATCAAGTGGTTGTAGCTGAATATTGAGTCACGCGCATAACATTTCATTATATAATTGGAATTAAATTAAAATACAACCATACACTTAGTAAAAATCATGAAATACGATCAATGATAGTTGGGTTTATTAGCAGAGATTCAGTTTCTCTTAAATAATGTCAGTGGGCTCAAAATTCTATAGAAGGGCTATCTGTTATAAAAACTAGATAATTAATTTATAAAGATTAAAAAATTAGTTAAGTTAGTTATTTGTTAAAAATGTGTATTACTTTTCTAAAATATGCTCTCTAATTATTTGCATTTGAACTACCTCTTGATGAAACTCTTTTTAATATATGTAATCAATATAGATAGTTAGGAAAAAAAAGTATAAATTTAAGAAATAAAGTGAATTGAGATATTATATTTATGATCAAAATCATATATTTAACACCGAAGAGAATATACCAAGAAAGCTACTCAAATTAGATCTATCCAACAGTGTTCGAATTATTCCTTTGAGTAGATAACAATGCTCAAATTTTACTGATTTACTGAATATCATATAATTAAATACAAAAATGAAATTATGAGTAGATGCAATAATTACGAGCAGGTACAAAAGTAAAGATCCACCGAAATGAAATTATGCAGAAAATTTCCAGTTATTGCAAAAGTAACCGTAACGAGGTTGAAGACGAAAAGAAAGTGAAACACACTCGGAAACACACACACCCACTCACACATTCTGGTATCTATTGTAAAAATCATCATAAAATCAAACACTGATGGAAAGAAAGATTGATGAAAATTACAGAGAAATCTTTATGAGACGAATGGGTCCAAGTCTCCCAGAAATGTCCTTAACGCATTATGGTGTGCTTGGGGAGAATTTGACATTGCCTTTTACATCCCTTTACGTTCCATTTATTGTTATATTCACCTGCTCTTGAGCTTATGTTTAACCATGGAATAAATGTACTTTCCAAGAAAGGAAACTAACATGTATTGCTTTTTTCCCCCCTCCTTTTGGTGAGAACGCCGTAAATTTTTTTTATTTCTTTATTTTCTATTGGTGTTTTTCACTGAAAAAGTAAAGCATCCCTTGTGAAATCTTTTCATGAGATATAGAGTTAAAATTTGTCTTTATCTCAGTAAGGTTCTCACAGGTTTTTTTTTTTGCGAGACACTGTTGAAATTTTCTCTCGTGGCATCATTAATTCTCGCAGAAGCTTTTCTTGAAAAATTGTTTTTTAAAAAAAATTATTTTTCCTATGAGAATATGAACTCCCAACAACTATTGAGGTTCATACACAACGTACAAAGTAATTTTACCACAAATTAACATCTAAGATCTAACTATTATATATAAGTTTATTTTTATATTTTCTTTCACTCATAAACATCCCAACCAGACAGATCCTACTAAGCCTAAAATTTTAAGTGCCCTTTGCAAGCAGTGTGTGTGAGACAAAAGTTTATTATCTAATTTGCCAAATCAGCAAAATGTTGAAGTGTGTGGGGCCGTGGATTCTCAGCAGTACTTCGAGAAAATGAGAAAAAAGTTTGACTCTTCCATTGTCTTCTCTGTGATTTGTTTAGCTGCAAAAAAGAAGGCTACAAGGGACATAAAATGTATTTTTCCTGTATTTAATATAAGAGCTAGTTTGACATTTAATTTGGTCCTAAATATAAGACACCAATTCACTTTGTCTCTTCTATTTAATTTATTTTTTTAAGATGATCCTTATAGTAATTGTATATGTTAAATATTTCATCAAATGGTAGTTCTAGTTAATACACCTGATCAGCAAAGGTATTTTTAAAAAAACAATTCATATTTATTACAATTAACTAATTCTTTAATATACTTAAATTAGTCAATTAGCTCTTGTATTAAGAAAGAGAGGTAGTATCTTTGAACAAATACACTTGGAGGTTGAACAGAAGTAATGTTCAGTTAGTGAGGACATATATGTGATTTCATTTTATGTGTGGTTAAACGAAAACTCCTTTAGTTATTGTATACTATTTTTCCCGTATATTGGGACATTCAATGCTTCAGTATTTACCTTATGAAATGCAATTAAGTGACCATTTGGATGAGCTTATTTTAGGGTATTTTACGCTGTATGTGTAAGGTAAATATATGAAAGAAATTTTATCTCATAAAATATAAAACTACTTGTTTTAAGTGTTCTCAAACAGAGGCTAAACAAAATTTAAACTACGTTACATTATGCATTGCTTTCCATGACACATTAAAGGAGGAATGATATATACTTAAAGTTTCAAATGATCATTCAATATTGCTAAAAAACAGTTACAAAATTTGAATCACAAGGTTGCAGATATGAGAGTTTTATTAGTTACAAATAACTAGGAGTAACCTATGAGACTTCAGTTCCTTATTTGCAACTTTACTTCTAATGATTCATAGCAGAGACTCTCACATCTGTAACTGTTTGAATCACCATCTGTACTATGCATAGGATCATGTTAATTAGTTCAGTAGTTTATTAAAACTTTTCTACCACCTCCTCCGCGTAGTAGAGAGATATATATATATATATATATATATGAGTTAGTCGGGAATTGATGAATTCAGTCTTAATTATGAGAAACCAATCTATTTTGTTTCTCAAATTTATAATTTTCCTCTCAAAATATTTCTATTGATTGTAAAAGGTTCTAACTAAGAGATAGTTCTAATACAAATAATTAAAGAAAATAGTTCATGAAAGCTAACGTATTTATTATAAATAATCAACTTAACTAATTTTCTTAATATTTTATTTGTTGAAAAACATAAAT